TTTGCAGTCAATGAATGCTTTAATGCAGCACATGATGATGTTCACAGGGTCCAGTCTTAAGTCTTTACTGCAGCCACCTTCAGTTTCTCCCTGTTTTGGAGTCTTTCTGCCTTCAGTTTTGACTTTCCTAACTGCCAACCAGATGGTTGACTAGGCCACTGAAGAAAATCCAATTTTCCCATTATCCTTAGTTAATCTTGGTTTCATCTGTCTAAAGAATTGTGTTTCTACCAGACCTGATCAGGCTCTTGTAGATGTTTTAAGGCAAATTGTGTATTTAATGTTCTTGAATGTGACCAGTGGTTTACATCACATTGTATTCACTCTGCAGTTACATTTATGAGTCTATTGATTGTGGACTTTTTTCCTATTCAAGTAACTTCAAGGTAAACTTCAAGGTTAACCTTGGGTTTTTTGTACTAGAAAGTTAGCTCAGTGTTAGACACCATGATGTCTAACACCATGGTAATTTATGCTGCAAATCTAGATTGGAGATCAACAGGTATGGAGTATTCAATCACCACATACTGATTCGGTTTTTCAGAGAATGCTGATGCTACAGCTGACCTCTGTGCATGAATAGTAGGAGGGTCTACAGTAATTCATTAGTGTCAAATGTCTGTGTTTCCCTGGTGATCGATAAGAAACATATATTAGATGAAAGTTACCAACTTGGTTTTTTCCCGCCGTTTGCAAACAATTTTACAACAACTCATGTTGTTCTACTAGAAGAAATCTATTATCTTAAACAGAGCACCTATTTGCAACCTACTTGCTGAATTTATACGAAATGCATATGTAGACTAAGCCTACATATGAATTTTATTTTTATAATTTATTCTGTACTCCAACACTAAGCCTGCCGCGACAAAGTCAGTCAATTATTCAGTTATGTTTTAGCCTCTTAAAATGGGAAACTATTCATAAAAATGTCTGTTAATTAGGAAAGTTTTGTAAAATTCCTTGAATTAAAGGTGACAGTCTGCACATCTTGATTCTTTGATTTAAAATCCCCTGTAGTGGTATACGGGTGCAAAACTGCAACAAAAATGAATCTTTGCCAATAAATTACAGGAGTAACTTAATTCTTTTCACTTCATGTTAGGCAAAGTGTCATACTTTCAACGTCCGACATCTTGACAGTCACATGGGGGTATAAGCAACTTTTAGTGAACAATGAAGGATTTCCTGGGAAAATCCCATATGCTAATCATTAGCATGTTAGCCGTTTCACCATTAGCATTTTACAAAAACATTGCCTATCCTGTATGCACATCCTTCAAGAGCTGCTAGTGTGGCGTCAGACTCACTGGATTAAAAAACAACCAAATGGAGCATAAAACTAAATTCAGTAACAGCTGCTACAGAATACTTGTTTGTTACATTTCCCTGCCTCTGAAGACTGCTTAAAGTTTCCTAACTGTGCTTCCTGTAAGCGGTTTCCTTGTTCACCATTTAAGCCCGTGTTGGCCAACACGCATATGCCAGACTTACATGAACACTTTTTTTGTTTGAAACTCCATAAACAACTGTGACTCAAAACCAAAACGCTGTACGTCATGCCACCGCAGAAGTCATGATGTTGACAGAAAAATTGAAAATACAATGAATAAGACATGTGAGTAACCTTTTATGAAACACAACCAAGTTTTTTACTCACTCCTCGCACGAAATACGTGCGAAAGGATAACAATGTTTAGCGCTCTGTTGTTATGTTGACATGCTAAAATAGAGTAAAACACAGAGCAGAGGATGTGAACTACCCAAGCAGGAGAAAGGAGAGAGTTGAGTTAAAATTTTGGAATTCCCAGTCCCATTTTTTGTGGGGTGTAAGTCAAAGCGTGACACCAGATGGTAGGTCTATAACAGGGGTGGCGGCACGGCAGGATGGATGGTCACGGGCTCCACAGTGCTCGGTTTATTTCCTCTGGACAGCTATATGGATCGAAACCCTCTGATGGGATCAGAGTGTTACAAAAGAGGAGGGTGGGGCAGGTTTGATTCTACTTAAATGTGAAAGACGTCAACAAAAAAAACGGGAAGGGACAGAGAAGAAAGATGGGAACCTAAAAGAGGTTGAATTTTTTGGTGTGGAAATGACTGGTGATGAAGGAAATTATGTAAAAAAAGAAAGAGTTAAATTCTTTTTAAAAAATCCCTCAAATGTAACTACCATGTTAGCTGCACATTTACAATTGTGGTTTCAGCTGCAAATAAACATGTTCACATGTGAATTTAATGTGATCGCAGTAACTGTGGCAGTATAAGTTTGTAAGGCAAAAACAAGGATGAAAGAAGGAAAGAAGCAGCAAAAAATGAAATGGCTAACTTCAATCAGCTGAAGTTACAGATCAACTTGCACTTTTTCTCACAGACATTTTACATGTTTTCATAGTTTAGACAGAACATAAACGTACAAACGAGCCACACTCACCCTGTTTTCTCCCTCTCTGTGTGCGCTGTGGCCCACATGTATCCAGCTGAGCTCCACCACTAGAGTCACCAAGCAAGAAATTCTCCACAGAGTCCGTTTCATCTTCATCATCATCCTTTGACTCTCGCTGTTCTTTCTGAGGAAGCAATATGATCTTGGTTCCTTCTGCTGCTGGCAGAGAGCACTTAGAGCTGGCTGCCTCTCTGACTCGGTTTCCCAGACCAGCTGAGTCCTTCAGACCACACACAAACACAAAGTCCTCTCAGACCAGGTATGTCCAAAACAAACTCTTGGTCTTACAGACGAAAACTAGTGTGTGTGAGCCAGGCGTAACCTGTCACGGCCACCCAGACACCCTCAAGCCAAATGGAGAAATGGGGTGTTTAAAACAAGCACCTCTTCCTGTTGAAGCTTTAATAAGAAGCTGAGACATCCAGTTAAATGCTGAGGCTATTACAAGTTAAACGTTGCAAATTACCTCAGACAAAAAGAAAATGAAGGTTATCCCGAAGACTTCTTATCAACACACTCTGTTTTAAATTCAAGGCCGATGATATGCTTAAAGGCCTGTGGCTGGATAAACTAAACAAAAACCTATGTGTTCAGACTTCTAGGTTCCTCGTAACTGCTATGTTACAGTATCTGTATTGCAAATTCACCACTATCTGTCTTCATTTCTTCCTGCTGTGGTGTTTCGATGCCTCTTGAGTTCCAGGAGGCTTGAATGCCTGTCTTTCTTTCACTGCTGCCGGTCCTGCAGCCTCAAAGTGCAGCTTTTTATGTTCCTCGTGTTCCCGTTTTCCCTTTTTTAATGTCCGTCTGTCAAGTGATCAAGTCCCCTGCCTGTTAAATCCCCCTACCAATGTCCTTTCTTCTGAAGCTGCCAAACCACACACAGCCAAAGAGCAATACCATGTGTTTTAAATGTGATCCAGACCGCTATAACATGTAAGGGGAAACAAGATGCCGGCACCACCCCTGTCTCACAGACACCACACCCACACACCCCTCCAAGCCCATTTGTCTTTGAATGTAATCCACTAGCAACATGTGTGCTGTGAGGACATATAAATAAAATCAATTATTTGTATGACTGTGGATTGCTTTAAAGACTTTTATGTGGTTTATTAGGTTTTAACTGGGCACACACCAGTACATTTAAAGAATCTCACTTTACTTTTGTTAAATTATTCCCTTATAAAAGCAGTGATCCTAAGACAAAAGCACATGTTAAGTTTCCCCCAAATTATCATGTTATATTATGCTAAAACTTTTATTTTTGATGTTGAGAGAGAGGAGAAGGCAGAGCAAACTGGGACATGAAAATGTGTTTAGATGTTTGTGGAAAATGAACCTCAGACGCTGGCTGAGAAGAGACAGCAAGAAGGGGAGAGAAGTAGGAGCACAAGGCTTGCAATTATGTACATTTTATTTAGCATAGAAACTTTTATTGTGGCTAAATTTGGACAGAAATGCTGACAAACCAGTGTGTAAAATAACACGGATGATTCTTATAGTGGTTACTGATCAAACCTTAAATCTTTCACTTTCATTTCCGGCACCAAAGAAAGCATGAGTACATCTGAGAAGTGCATTTACACATGGCATCTAGTCTATTAATCTGCTGTGACTATGCAGAAGTCACCACTCATGTCTTTATATTTTGCCAGGAAAATGGGAAATAGGTGCAACAATTTACTGAAACATATTTATACATACATGGAAATACAGTATAAGGCAAATCTAACAAGTTTGGAGGTCAATTTGTGCTTTAAAGCTTTCCAAAGATAGATCAAATGAAAGGTCAGATACATCTCTAAGGTCCTGTGTCAGTTTTTTCTCCTATTTCTTAAGAACAGATAAAAGAAGTAGATACTTTTTCCGGCTTTGTTCTTTTGTCCTCCATTTCTCCTGCCCAGTTTCCGCAGTTTGTTTTAAGGACACACTGCACATCATGCTGACACCTCTTCAGAAATCACCTTGCTGGTACATAATTACTAATTTCTGTCTGTCAAACTATGTTTTCTTTGGCATTTTTCAGAGATTCAGCTACAAAAATGGTAATAAATTGTGTATTTTTGTGAGAGGCTGCTAGTAACAAAGTGCCAATTTAAAATAGGTTCTTTGTTAAGTTGCCTGTTATGTGTAACAACAACACTGGCTTATCTCTTGAATGATTAACTGGTCAGTATTAAATGGCTTTACAAAAAATAAAACAGTCAAGAAAGTCTGGAGAATTGTTGGTTCAGACTTTGGAAGCAAAATATAAAGAAATGAGGTGTGGCTCAAGACTTTTGCACAGTGCTGCAACTCTCACATAAATGATAATGATTGTCCCCCGATTGAAACAGCTCCACAGGTTGTTTGTGCAAACAGCAACCCTTTGAAACACTTTGTTGACAGTGACCTGTAGTGGCCATAATAACTCTGTATTTGGAGTTGGTGGGGTTTCTCTGGTGTGGTGTCACGGGGTCTGCTTCTGTTTTCAGCACAGGTAGGCGGGGTGGTGTGTCACGGGATGCTGACACACCGGCGGTGCATCAGACGTCATTTGATGAAGCGTTACTTAGGAGCAGCGCGACTGACGTCTGGTGTCGGAGTATTGCCACCTCCTGGAGTGCCGGATCCATCACCCGCTTACCTGTCAGCTGTTTGTGAAGCCGCATTTCCGGGATCACTACGGAGATCAATCACAGCGTTTCTCCCACATCCCGAGAATCCTCGCCCGAGCCTGTACAGCCAGTGTGACAAGTCCACCCTGCGTGCGCGGGTAACCCCTTTCCCTCCGAATGCGTGTCAGCCCCCTCCCCTGGTTTCCTTCTGTTTATTCATCAGCATACTTATCTCATCCCGTGTAAATAAGTTTGACACAGTAAATAAAGAGCACTCCCTGTATTTTCTGCGCTTCTGTGTGTTCTGCCATAGAGTCCGTTCACTCAGCATAACACTCTGGGAGTGTTATAGAGTTACTCTCAGTTGAGTGAGGAGGTCAGGGTAGTCTATCCATTTCCTGTTTCAAACTGATAGCCAGTGTCTCTTCTTACCATGGCCACTGCATTACCGTAACCTTAACTTCATGTTAAATGCAGGTCCTCTCCTTTGATTCAAACCCTGCTACTTTGTACCAAAACACAACGAAGTTCTTACAAGCATCTTTCCTGCTGTGGTCATTTCATGTAACAAGTTTAATTTAATCACACATAAATCAAAGATTAATAAATAAAAACAAGTTCTCAAAAACTAAACTTTTCCCATCTTTATATGATTATCCCAAACTAAAACCACCTTATGTTTTTTCTGTAGTAACAAATGTTTTCTGAGGGGTAAAAGAGTGTCAGGATATGGTGGTCAAACAGAATCCCTGATCTTGGATCTCCAGTTTGGAGCCCTCTCAAAGCCATTTCTGCCATTCTGGTAGTCTCTGAAAGCTTCTCTGATCTCGTCCTCTGTGGTCATGACAAATGGACCTGAACAGCAGACACAACACGAGTGTTACATCAAAGCTGTGTTACATCAACTATACCCTAAAAGCACAGAGCATCTTTTTTTGTCTGTCAGTGACCTTGTGCCGGCATGGAGGAAAGGACACCAATGACTTACCGTGTTGTACCACAGGCTCGTTGATTGGTTGTCCAGCGATCAGCACAAAATGGGAAACCTCGGAGCCCTAAGGAAAAAAACACAAGAATAATATTTGTTTGAATTTAAAGGGGACAGACTAAAGTTTTTCATGAACAATTCAAAGTCAGTAGCTCCCCGCTTAGAGATAGGGACTAAAGACATGTTCACCATTTGGTAAATGTACTGGTGCTTAAATAGCACTTTTACTACAAGTCTCATTTACAAGGCACTTTATTCTAAAGCTTTAAGTGCTTTCTACCAATCACACTGTATGAGGAAAGATCTAGGGTTCAGCATCTTGTATCTTGACAGTTCACACTAAAAACACCTCACAAAGGCAGAAAAATTACCACTAGATGACATAAGCTGGAAAATTCCCATAGCATACTACTGGTGAAAGACATTTTTCTAACCTTGTTTCCAAATTTGACACAGTCTCCATCCCCAAACACCACAGTGTGATGAGGCTCCACCTGCTGCTGCTCCTCATCTGGGCCTTGAAAAGAAAGGGAAGTCCAATATTCCAGGCATGATATTTGTGAGCGAGTAAAAGCAAAGCACAAGTTCAGCTGCGTAGATCTCACGTTTTATACTGACATCAGTTTAGATATTTTTTTGCTTTGAGTAAAGTTATTCATACTTGTTTTAAGATGCCATAAATGATCTCAAACATATTATAAGTTTGACATATTGATAATGATAATAATAATATTTGTTAAATTCTTCATTTATATTTCTAAATGTGACAGTTTCCCAGCATTTTGCCACATTTGCCCATTTTTTCTTATGACGTATGAAACGGAGTACGCATTTCATCCATAGAATTGTACTTCGTCATAAATCATGTACAGAGCAACACAAAATACAAATATAAGTGATTAAGTTTGTGGCTTGTGAGTCGAAATAAGCATCATTAGCAACAAAGAGTAAATTTGCCACCTCCACGTTTCAGCCATTTACACTTTCAACCTGCTTGAGCAGTTTGTTCGCAACACCAACACTAAATGCTGAGAAACACAGCCAATCCCACTTGTGTTGGATTCATTCATCAAAGCCAGCTGGTGCTGATTTGGGAGGACTGCCTGTAGAGTTAGAGACTTTAAAATCAAATAACTTCTTTACTTAACGCCCACTCACATCCTGGGCCATCTGAACTCAGGAATTTGCATGATAAGGTGGGGCCAGGTTTCACAATGAGCTCACCCAAAACCCTGGCTGATTGGGACCCACACCCAGTTTCACACCTTGGCTCAGGCGATTAGAGGATCATCAGGGGGTCCTTTTGTCCCTCTGTGGGGGGACACTCCCACTAGGTTTAAATCTGGGACTCCCCACCATTTGACCTTAGAACTGAAGAAGCAACTTAAAGAAGTCCAGACGCTTTTCTTTGTAAGCTCCTTTGGCTACGATGGCCTGGATGACTGAGAACCTTCACAGACAACTTCTTTAATCTTAGCAGTCATTTTCATCCTCTCGTGTCATCAAACATCTGCTCGAAATTACAGCCAGTCTGAGAGACCCTGCAGTGTAACAATGGAGCAACTGAATCATAATGAAGGATATTAAAAGGGAAATTCTGACAGAACACAACAGGTTTCAACAAACTAACAAAGCCTCTGAAAATGAGTTCATTCTCTGAGAGAGCTTGTTCGCATGTGAGGGGAATTCCCTGATCACACCATGCTGTTCAATAAGCATGAAACAATATAGTTCACAGACCAAACAGGAACACTGACGCAGCATACTGAATTATAACATGAACATAAGCTCACTGATAAGAAGCCAAGCAGTGAGATGGTGGTATTTTACACAAAGGTGCACTATTATATTTCCACAGATGCTAGATCATCTGCAGTGATCTAGTCTAAAAAGATCATAGCTGAGTGACAGTCGATATCCATCAAGCTGAAAGGAAGACGCAGCTGGACTGAGATCACACACATTTTTGTAACGTTGATAAGGCCCCAGGAGGAGCAAGGAGGGAAACCAGTGCACAAATCCAAACAGAGCACTACCCTCGAAAGGCTGTCTGCCTGCCGGCAAGCTCACACAAAAATGACCAGATCAACTTTCAGAAGAATTCAGGTGGAGCACAACCAATCTCCTTACATTAATCTGAGCTGTTAAACAATAAGAAACAATAAAATAGGTATTAGGAAAGTAATAATTAGTCAAATAAAGAAGAAACTTACCAACATGAGTGGATCCTGATAGTGTGTAGATGAACGTGGTCCAACCTGTCAAGCGCAGAAACATCATATCTTAAGTACAGGCGTAATAACAAAATAGGTCAATCGTTTTAAAAGACAATTCACCTCCAGCTGAATTTATTGTGTTTTTGGACATTTGTAGGCATCAGAAATAATTTTAATTCACAACTTCTCAGTTTTAACATTTGACAGGTCATTTATGTTTTAATGAAATAAAGCCTTAGAATTATTTGCAGATGCATTTTGCTATTTACATTTTGTGCTGTGATCTAGGATTTGTATTTATTTATTTATTGGAAAAAGGAACATATGAAAATTTGAAGATTATAGAATACCAAGTCTCAAAGTAACTAACTAAGAGAATAATTTATATTTCGCAGTCACAGTCATCACCAGTAACATTTATCCTTTCTTATGCAATCCAACATGGATAGAAACAAGAGGCTTTATTAATCATGGATTCAACCTAATTTTTATTCTAAAAAGTCTTATTTTAAAAGCCAAACATTTGCTTTGAGTTTGTTTTTCTGTTGCTTTAGAAAAAAGTAGGTTGAAACACTTCTTATATCCAGAAGCATTAGTCATTGTTCTGTCTCTTTTACAAATATGCCAATATTCAACACAGCCTGTGGAGAACACAGTCCCCTCCTGGCAACAACACTGGAGAACCAATAGTTCAGTAACAGACGGCGTCAGTCCCAGAGTGACCACAAGATGTTTATGTAACCATCATCAAAGACATGATTAAGAATTTTATTATTATCAACTCATGTTAGAGAAACTAGTTTCTAATTTTTCCTACCTTGAGGGACAGGCTGCACATGCGTGGCCCCTGCCTGCAATTTGAAGTCCAGGTATAACGTCGGAGTTCTCGTGTAGATCTTGGACTAAACAAAAGCAAAAGGAAACAGAAAAAGAAAACAAGAGAGAGCAAGACAGCAACAAGGAGAGTTACAGAGTTATTCTTCTGTTTGAAGATGTGAAATATTTGAGTATATTTGAGTAATTGTTAACTACTACTAGTCTTAATTTACCATAGCTGACTCCACATCGCACTCCACCAGACACCTGTGTAACACGTACCGGTGCAATACTCGCAAATATAATTTCTTACAGCACATGACTGAAAACACAGTTTTGGATTTCACAGTTTTTATGAGTTTTGTATTACAGTTTATCAGCTGCATAGCTAACTGCTGCATATTCTCTTTCTCCACTGTTGTTATCTGTAACAGGCAGTTGTTTTCAACAGAAAAGAGCGCTACGCCTCCTGCTCAACATCAAACAGCAAGCAGACGTTTTTAACAAATAGCTGGTGAAGCATGGGAAGATATAAGATTCATGCATTTCCCTCAGACGTTAGTAGAGACCAAGAATATTGCCATAAGCAAGCAAATACTGGTCAGTTAACCAGAAAAACAATTCCACTGTAATAATTATGTTAGTCTATAGTTCAGACACATGATTAGTGCTTTGACATAAATGCATTAAGATAAGGAAAAAAGTCTGCCTTAAATGTGAATGTCATCACATTCATGTAGTACTTTGTTTACTTATGTCTTACTTTGAGGGACTCAGTAACAGTCATAGGCTACATTTTTTCCACTTTGGTCTCTTTATTTTTGTTCCAGATGTGTATTGTGACATGTTTGCTGTCCCAAGAAGGCTGTACTGTAAACAGCAATTAAAAGTGTTTTGTGAAAACATTTACAAAGTGTGGGAATAAAACTGGGCACAATTAAATTTAAACTAACTTGCTGGTTTAAAAAATAGATACGATGGCAGGAGACCAAAGTGATGAGCTTAACCAATAAATGTAATGTTGGTGTTATTTGAGGCTTTTAATGCTTTCTTTGAACTGTTCTTTTTACACAGCACACATCTGAGGATTTAATGTTACCAGCAGTAACCTTGTTCATTACACACACACACACACACACACACACACACACACACACACACACACACA